ATGCAAAAGGCTCAAGTCCGCATGCAGCAGCAAGCCAACAGGCATTGCGTGCCATGTCCCATCCGCGCTGGCGATCTGGTTTGGGTCTCCGCGGAAGAGTTTGCACTGGAACAGGATGTTTCACTCAAACTGCTTCCCAAGTGGTTTGGACCATGGCCCGTAACATCAGCCGCGGGCGATGAGCCCGATGGCCCTTCATTTGTGATCAACATTCCCCCGCATCTACGGTCCATCCAGTCTTTCACGCCTCCAAGCTGGCAACATACACGCCAGCTAAGAGCGACGAYTTTCCGGGCCGACGATCGCAGGACCCTCCTTCTATGGATGGTCATCAGGAAGTTGACCGCGTCATCACCGATCGCAAGTACGACAGCAAGCCGCGACAGTACAAAGTGACATTCAAAGCCTGCGATCGCGACGACACTCAGTGGATTTCAGGAGCAGATTTGAAAGCATCCGCACTGCTGATCTACGCGCATTATGAGAAGCAAAGGTTAGCTCAGGAAGCTTCATGACCGGCCCCTCCCACCCGGACTGTGGTCCCTCCCTCAGACAGACAGCTTCGCCCTCGCAGGTAAGCTCGGTCTTTCAAGGAGGGGGGGGGGTGGCATACTGCGTAGCCACACGGGCCCTGCAGAGCCCGTCCCGCTCGGTCTTTCAAGGAGGGGGTCGTTTCAGCCTGAAACTGAAAACGAGGGCCTGCAGGCCCTATTCCGTTTTCAGCCTATTTCTGGGCCTCAGGCCCAGAGGCTTTTCAGCCTGAAACGGAGGGCCATTTTCAGGCCCTCATCGTTTCGACCAACCCTAGGACTCAGGCACAAAAACAAGGTTTTCGGAACAGGCTATCTTTAGCCTGTTCCTCACGACAGCTCGAGCAGGAGCTGCAGCTGTAGCCCCTGCCTCCCTTCGGCATTGGCAAGAGCAGCCTCCTGGATTGCCTCGCCTGCAGTCAGGAGGCACCCGGTAGTACATAGGAGTCACGGGTAGGTAGTTGGACAGTAGGCACGAGTAGTCTTCAGGATTCAGCGCAGCACTCAGGAGGAGCGCTGCAGGGAGTAGCTTAGCGCTAGCAGTAGTCTTCAGCTCTCGGCACTAGTAGCCATAGCAGTAGTCTTCAGCGCTGGGCGCTAGTAGGTGGTAGATAGTAGAGTTGGGAGAGATGGCTGGCCGAGGCCAGCGAGACTTACCTGTGGCGCCATAGCTCCAGCTCCATCTTCGAGGTACCTGCATCAAGGCGCCAACTTCACAGGTTAGTACTAAACTGAGAGAGAGAGAGAGAGAGAGAGAGAGAGAGAGAGAGAGAGAGAGAGAGA